CTTAGGGCTGTTTCTGAAATGTATAATGCCCTAAAAGCATGGTGTGGCTTGACAGGAGTGATTTGATATGGTGGCCCAAATCTATGTAACTCAGGTGCACAAGATTCTCATGCTTCAGTGTCGATTAAGAGGGGGATTTAAGGGAAGGATGCATTCTGTGTTTTGTAAGTAATCCTCCAATTTACAAGTGTAAGTTCTCAGAAAGTTCACGAGATTGAAGACCTGTGTGTGAACATGAAAACACCCAGGAGGTCAGGATACGAATACAGGGTACGGTAACTGCTGCCTCACCCGTTGGGGGTCTAGACTGATGGGACGACTGCGGCCCGAGGTGGTGATGTGTTATTGGCAAGAAGAATGTTCAGTGGCGTTTTGTACGTCACCGAGTCCTCTCGAGGTCACGAGGAAATGCACGTGTGGATCAACAGTATAATTCGCCGTTCTCTTCTGAAGGAGCGCTGGTGGTGCTTTTGGTTAACCCACCCACCTCTCCGAGGGAACCTGATGAAGGTGTCTGCTCCAGGAAGATTTACAGCCTCAGAAACCCTGCATAGGGTGTTCTATGTAAAATTTGAATTTATACTATATCCTGGCTTTGAGGTAGACTCTAAGAGGAAAATATATTTTTTGTTGTCCCCCAGTAACGGTGATTCCAATAGCTCTGATTGTGAGAACAGCAGTTAGTATTTATTTATAGATATTTCCAGCATTTGATTGAGCCTACTGTAAATCAACACCCACTTCACTGGCACCCAGTCCTGTCTCTTGCGTAGTGGCCCTCTATAAGGTTTCCAAGACTGGATTAGTAGCCCAGTGCCTAACTCACAGCACCACCCCACCAAGGCTCCTAACAATAACCAGAGATTCGTATTAAGCTTGTTGAAACAGAGATCCCTACTAAACTGTCTGAGGTCCCTGAGTGGCACAAATGGTTACCGATTTCCAGTGCTAATTAAAAACCGGAAGGTTTCTGCCCACCCAGAGGAGCATCAGAAGAAAACGCCATCCCTGAACAATCAACCATTGCAAACCTTTCAGAGCTGCGTATTACTCTGATCTACATGGGGTTGCAGTGAATTTAAATCAACTAAATGGCAGCTGGCTTATGAATCCTCTTACAAGATGGAAGATGGAGGTGAATGTAAAACTGAGGAGTAAACCTTAGCTTCTTATGTTTAATGAAGGCAACAGTTTGGAAATGCTTTGATGTGGGCCATGGAAATTGTGAATATTGAAAGAAATGAAGAGCTTGGATTACTCCTAATCTGGGCTTGCTTGCTCCTCCCCTTTGGTCACCATTCAATCCTCACATCCAGGACAACCAGCCCATTCTCCAGAACACAGCGCCTCAGACAGGTTTGTCACTTGGCAAGTGGTGTTGAATTCTGCCTGTATTTGTACTTTAAACTCTCTTAACCAGTTTATTCCAACAAATCGTTTCTACAGTTGAGATGCTATTCATTATTGCTCGTTCTATTTCTTTATGAGATGTCTTGGCCCCCTCTTTCATTCCCCACCAATACCCGTTTTCTTGGTAATTGTATTCGATCTTTAAGACGTAGCTGGGGTAAAACAAGTCAGGGGTATAAGAAGGATAGTCAGACTGCTCCTTAAAGACAGTCATGTTAACTTTGGCCATGTTATCAGGAGAGACCAGTCCCAGGAGGACATCATGCTTGGTAAAGTAGAGGGGCAGCAAAAAAATAGGAAGCCCTCAACGAGATGGATTAACACAGTGACTACAACAATGGGCTCAGACATAAGACCCATTGCGAAGATGGTGCGGCGGGACTGGGCAGTGTTTTGTTCTCTTGTACCTCAGACTACTATGAGTCAGAACTGACTCCCCAGCACCCAACAACAACGCCAGCAACAGGTCTCCTCCAAGAAGTCTCATGCAACCTCCGGGCCTCCACAATTCGTGGGCTGGCCTCTTCTTTCACAGGTACCATACAGTTGCATTGAATGCTATTTGCTGTTTTGTCTCTCCAGTCAATGATGGCTGCCATGACAGCAGTCTTGTGCCCCAGTGTTCTTGGTCCACTGTCGGAAACACTTAATCAAGATGTCTTGAGCTTCTAGGGTTGAATGTGGAAAACAAACTCTTAGAACAAAACCAAACCAAACCCTCTCTGATAGAGATTTCTGGGAATAATTTAGGAGCCATGCTGGTGCTAACAGGTAAGAGGTGAAGGACATAGTTGGTGGCTTAACCCCACCAGCTGCTCCAAGGAAGAAAGATGAGGCTGACCTCTCCCATAAAAATTTAGTCTGCAAATCTTGCGTACCATCGCTGTGACTTGGCATCCACTCGACAGTGGTGGATGGTTAGCAGTCAGCAGGGTGACTGTGGAGGAGACCCGGCCTTAATGAGCATTGCCTTGCTTATGCTGTGCTCTTGCTCCCTCTAGGTCAGAGGAAGGTGTTTGACCTCCCTTTTGGAAGCTGCCTCTTTCGCAGTGATGTCTACGACAACGGATCCTCATTTCTCTACAACAACTGCACAGCGTGCACCTGTAAGGTAAGGTGGCGTTAATGGGGCCATTGCCTACCCATGGTGTGTTATTGGGAGGAGGCCTCGTTGATGCCCTTAGTTGAATGAAAGCAATGATGCCATTCCGCGAGTGAAATCAAACTCAGGGTTACCAAGGAAGTCTTCATGTGGGACCCAAATTATAACTCACTGTCATCTTCGAGGGACCAATATGTGAACTCCTGGTGGTGAGCCCCGAACTCTGAGAGTCCTTCTGCAGAATTTTCCCCAGTCAGACAGATACAGGAGGCAGAGCTCTTGGACCACAGTTATCCACATTGCATTTTCTGGCACACCTACCAGTAAGCATGGCTTTAATTAGACCCAGGAGAAGAGAACAGGACAGATTTTCAATTCACAACAGAGAGAAACCTGGATGTTGTGCGCTGCTGCCCACTTTACTCACGTCTAACGGCTGTTCAAGGATTGCCATTGCTCCGGATGGGCAAAGGACTACACACCACTCATTCATAGGCTGCACATGTTCCACACACATAGTTGTGCAGCAGTATTTTATCATGGAAACATTGATCACAGAGAACATTAGGGCTTTCCTTCAGTCCGCTAACCCCATCCATTTTAATGATAATGCTAGGAGAATGCACAGTGGTAGTGTTTTGTTTTTAACAGCCAAAGGACTCGGCAGGGAGAGGGAGATATTTGCTCAGTTCAGTAATGAGTCAGTAACTGGGATTAGAATGCCACATTTCCTGATGCCTTGAGGCACGCTTGCTAAGTAGCACGCACTGCTTGGAGGTGGGTGACTGGGTCCTGCTGAACTATCTGTTCCTTGGCACTGAAATGGAGTAATTCCTCAGCCGGAGAATGCTTTCCTAAGGCTCCTTCCCTCTCTTGTGGTTTGCATTATACAATGCTAAACACAACATAGCTCCTTCTGTTTGCCTTGCCCCCCGCCCCCCCAGGACCTCTCTGCCCCTCTAGGAATGTCACAGGTCACGATTTCTTCCTGAGGGTACTGAGTCTGATGAAAGACATCACATTCCCAATCCCCTTGCTTGCAGGAAAGCCAGGCATCCTGTGGAGTGGAATTAGTAATGCATGGATCCTCATGGAGCCGAATAGGCAACACATCCCCTTGCTCATCAAGGAGTGTAATTAATCCTGTTCATTCAAGAGGGTACTTTATCAGAGTATGAATTCTCTGTTATCTTTGGGAAATTGACTGTTAGAAGGATCAATCTACAACCTGATTGAGTAATCAAAGTTAATTTCTACCTGTTAGTGGCCCCCCTTCAGCAATCCCACCCAGTGCCCCTCACAATTTACACTGCAGGGGCCAGGATCTGTGTGATCATTCTCAGAGCACACGGTGGCTTCATGGCGCTGGGCCTTCAAACTGGCCGTGCTTTTACCTACATTAAGGACCCCTGGTGGCGTAGTGGTTACATGCTGTGCCACAAGGCCAGCAGTTTGAACCACCAGTTGCTCAGAGAGAGAAAGATGAGGCTTTCTACTCCGATAAAGACGTACAGTGTCGTAGGTGACGGGAGACATCAGACAGTGTAAGACATGACAAAATCATAATAATTTATAAATTATCAAGGGTTCATGGGGGGCCAGGGAGTGAGGGGAAAAATGAGGAGCTGAAACTAAGGGCTCAAGTAGAAAGCAAATGTTTTGAGAATGATGATGGCAACAAAATGTACAAATGTGCTTGACACATGGATGTATGTATGGATTGTGATAAGAATTGTATGAGCTCCCAATAAAATGATTAAAAAAAATATATAAACACAATGAAAATCAAAAACCAAAAAAAATTGAAAAGGCACATATATGGAAGGCGTGAGGGCAATTAGAATGTCAAAAATGTAAGAATTCATGGCAATTTTCACAAATATTTTGTAGATCTAAGTTTCTCTTCTTTATATTATGCAATTAATATTCAGAAAACATTTTCAAAAAAGAAGTACAGTCTCAGAAACTCACAGGGGCAGTTCTACCCTGTCTTATAGGGTTGCTTTCGGTTGACCTCCACTTGATGGTCATGAATTTGGTTTAGGGGTTTTTACCTTTGTTAAATTTGCAACATTGAATGTGCAAACTCCTCATTATCCACAACACCCTTTCTCAGATGTTACCCTCTGCAGGCAGGCTTTCAGACCCACCTAGCTAGGTAATCATTCCCTCTTCTCTGCTACCTCTATAAACTTACTGATTCTATTTTTATGTGTGGTAGTAGAATTTATTTGCTTACCTAGTTACCGCCTCTCTTACCCTGAGCCCTTTGAGGACAGACGTGTAACCATCGTCATATTCTCATGGTGGAATGCAGTGCTGGCCCACACTGTAGTGGGTGTGTTGTTTGAGAATTAGTGAGCACCCTTGTTTTTCTCACCAGAAATCAATGCTCACAAAGGATTTATGTTTTTCTGACTTATTAAAGGATTTCTAATAATTTCCACATGCCAGTTACCATGCCAGGTACTTCACACAGTTGATAGAAACCCCACAGTAACCTGAGAAGTAAGTATCCGCATCTCCACTTTCGAAGATGAAGAATCAGAGGCTAAGGGAGATGAATTTGCTCAAGTTCACACACCTCATAAAGGAGCAAGAATTCTCACTTGGTCCTTTGACACTAAACACTATCCTTTTTCACTGCTTCACTCGGCTGTTGTTGTGAGTCACGGTCCTGTTGACTCTGACTCATGGTGGCCCCGTACACAATGGGCTGAGACACCACTTGGTCCTGGACCATCCGCACCATTGTTGTTGTGTTTGAGCTCATTATTGCAGCCATTGTGGGGATCTATCCTGCTAAGGGCCTTCTTCCTTTTCACTGGCCCTCTACCACCCAGGATGCCCTTTCTGCAGAACTGCTCTCCGCTGAAGGAACCCTCATGGTATAGTAGTTATGTGTTGGGCTGTTAACCTCAAGGTCAGCAGTTTGCTACCACCAACTGCTTCAAGGGAGAAAGACAAGGCTCTCTACTCTCATAAAGAGTTACAGTCTCATAAGCCCACAGGGGTAGCCCGACCCAGCCCTCCAGGCTCACTATGAACTGGCATTGACTGAATGGCCTTGAGTGAGCTGACAGCTTGCTCAAGATAATGTGTATAAAGCATGTGAAGCAAAGGCTCCCCACTCTCACTTTTAAGGAGCACCTTCTATATCATGCTACTAGAACGAAAAAATAAATGAATGTCAAATGCTACATTTTTGTTACTGTTGCTGCTGTTTCTGGGGTAGCATCTCGTGGTCCCCCTAAGCTTTCACGAACAAATCGATTTGAGTATAGTAGATGGTATGGGAAGTACCTCTTGAAGTCATAGAATTAACACAGAAGCTGCAAGAGAGGCTGCAGAAGCGGCATCGGTCCTTTAGCATAAACTTTTTGTAGTTGGTTCTTAGGAATGAGTGCTTTCTCACAGCTTGCTGCTAGGGTCTGGGACTTGGGCTTAGGTTGGGTTGGGTCTCTCTGTCATTAGTCTTACTCTGTCTTGACACTTTGAAGGGGTCAATGGACAACTTCTTTCATCCATGCACATCTTCGGCTCGGTTTTATAAAGGTTCTTACTGCCATTCCAACTGTTGACCAAGTCCAGATGAGGTTCTATCCTGTTGGCTGGAAAATGGGCACTAGAGAAGTTTATTGTCCCTAACTTTTCTGAATGTATTGTTAACCGAATTAGTCGGTAGAATTTACCTGATTGCATTTTTTATAAAACTTGTTAACTCACTCTGTAAAGAAACCCCTTTGAGTTACAGATATACACATGCCACCTGCAGAGGTTGGATAGCCAGTGATGGTGATACAACTTCTAGCAGAACCCCAACTCCCAGGTCTCATTTGGAAGGCATTCATTTGGTGCTTTTGTGAACAAAGCACATCTGAGGAGTTTCGTTTTGAGATGGAACACCAGCTCTTAATTTTACTCTTTGTTAAAAAAAGAAAAATATTTTGCTTCTGTGCTGAACTCCTGTACGGTGGCCCTAGAGAAGACCCCAACAAACACGAGTAATGTAGGATATGGAAAAATAAAAAGGGCAGGAAGAAGGAAGTCGTTTGGACCACAGGAAGTGAGCCTTTTTGCCACACACAGGTCAGAACTGAATGATAACTATCCTGAAGCTTTACATTTTAGTCCCTTAGAAGATAGAGTATTACCTTACTCTTCACATCTTCCTCATCATGTAGTCCAAGTTGCGAATCAACCAATACTATTTTTCAACGAATGGATTATTTACAATACATTCAAATATGGTACATAAAGAAGACAGAGATGGATTTATACTGCTCATGGAATGCCAGGGAAGATGCCTGAGGTTGGGGTGGAGGGTGGAGGAGAGACCAGTTTTCATGCCTTGTGTCCCTTTGGGCTACCAGGACTCCACCGTGGTGTGTAAGAAGAAGTGTTCCCGTCCTGGGAGCTGCGACCGAGACCAGGAGGCCTGCTGTGAAGACTGCCTCCTGCACATCCCCCCCGAGGAGATGAACGTGTGCACCTTTGGCAACAAGGTCTTCCGGGTACGTCCCCAACCACGCTCACGTGACCCAGCTGATGGGTTCTTAAACAGCTCCAAACAACACATTGGTTAGATTTCTCCATGCTTCATATACACCTGTATGCATGTGTGTAAGAGAGAAGCACGGTTTGAGACAGAGTAACAATTGCTTGGAAAATGTTTTTCCTGCCTCTATTTTTTTTAAAAGGGACTCTTCTTACACCTGTGAGAAAACAGAACCTTTTAAACATGTGGCTTCCCTCTGATTGAGTTGAAAAGATGGTCCCTGCTGGTGGGGCTGTGGTACCCACATTCCAGAGAGGTTCTCTTTCAGCTGGACTGCTTAGTGACCCTTGTCAAGGTCCCAACCAGGTTAGTTTGATCATTTGATCATTTGAGGAGCTTTTAGCAGCTGCCTCTTCAAAGACAGACTTTCTCATTTGGTGACTGTTCAGCTGGGGAGATCCACGGGATTAGAAGACAATCCAGGAGGTGAGTGAGCCCTGTCACAATCAACGTGTCCAAGTTGGATTGCAGGTGTGCATTGTATGCTGTTGTTTGATGTCCCCGGTAGGAAACTGTGCAGTGGCCATGTGAACTTCAGGATGTAGGCGTGCTGTCTTTATGAACAGTGCTTCCATGGAGCCCATTTCTCAAGGGGGGAGGGAAATTGTACCTGAAGAAGTTGAATTTTGACTTTTGGAGAAGGAAAGCTTGATATTTATGCAGATCAAGACTCTGGATTCCCTCCGTGGTGGAAATGCTGTAGGCATGCTGTATCGGCCCAGATGCCATGTTCCCAATGCTTATGTGACAGAGGGAGGGAGAGGATTCAGTGCTTATGGAATCCGTGAGAAGTTCTCTCCATGGAAAGGAGGACCGACATAGGTCCCATTTATACCAGTTTTCAGAGCCACCCATGTCCTTATTTCTTAAAGTCATCCTTGCTCGCCAAAACACCCAGATGGTAGTGTTGTGGGCCAGACATCTACAAGTCTCCTTCGAAGAAAGTGGCTGAGACCTGACATAATTTACAGAGTCACGAGTGCTAGACATGCAGTTAGATCTTTCTCTCCTGAGAAATAAGTTATAATAGGGTAGTTAGTCCCTCTGTTATCTTTAAAAACTGAGAGGGCATTTGACATCCTCAAAGATTTGACGTGTTTCTCTAACTCGAACACGCTGCTCCTTGGATCTACAAGTTCGGGGAATAATCCTTGTTTGGTTTCAGGCCCACCTTTGTTGCGTGTGAGCATCTCTTTCACACACATGTATCCCCCTGCCTCTCCTCAGGAGGTACTAGGTCTTTGTGTGCCAGCCGTGTGTTTGGCAATTGTAGATTTTAAAGGCAGTGAGCCAAAGAAAGTTCTCACATGACTTTTTCTGGTGGAGCAAGGATCTAAGAAATCTTCCAAGGGGGTATATTACATCTGGGGGGGAAAATACCATATCAGAGTGGTGCTTGGCCTATTGTCTGGCTCCACAATTTAAATGACTTGTAAATCCAATGTCTGCCTGGGCATTAGGAAGTCTTAGAATTAGACTCTTCTTTGCATATTCATGTCCCATGTGATACAGAGCAATGACGCATCTGGGAACGAACTGAACATCGCTGAACATCTCAATTAACTGCTGGTGCCTGGGACAGCTTAAACATCTCAGTCTAATCAAACAAGGGGACGTTACTTATTTGTTACTGCATCATGTATGAGCATTCATATTTGACTATCTGTTACTGCATCATGTATGAGCATTCACATTTGACTATCTCCCAGTGCATGGAGATGCAATCCGGACCTGGCCACACATGAATATTTTTGATATATCTTATGGAGGGGAACACACACACATAGAGATATATAACACATTCATATGTACACACACACACACACACATATGCAGACACATAAAAGCCAACCCTGCCAAGCCCCCACTGATTGTCATCTGACATTTGGCTGGGTGCAGATAAACACCTCAGTCTCTCCTCTAGCAATGGCATAGCTCAGTCAAGATAAGGTAGCCTGTCCTTGGCAGAAAAACTGCCATCTGTTGGGTTAGCTTCTCCGTGCCTCCAGCTAACAGCGAATTCTATGCTTTCTCCTATAGGATGGAGAGATGTGGTCCTCTGTTAACTGCACCATCTGTGCTTGTGTGAAAGGCAAGGCTGAGTGTCGCAAGAAGCAGTGCATTCCCATCAGCAGCTGCCCTCAGGTACAGGCTGGTTTTCTCCTTTGCTAACCTGCCTTGGGAAATGCCTTGGGGATGGCATGGCCCTGTGCCAGCTTCTAAACCAGTGGTTCTCAACCTGTGGGTCTCGACCCCTTTGGGGTCAAACAACCCTTTCACAGGGTTCGCTGATTCATAACAGTAGCATAATGACAGTTATGAAGTAGCAACGAAAATAATTTTATGGTTGGCGGGGAGGGGGTCACCACAACATGAGGAACTGTATTAAAGGGTGGTGGCATTAGGAAGGTTGAGAACCACTTTTCTAAACCCAGATTCCAGATCCCTCAAGTGTTCAACTTCCCAAATAGCCAAATGTCCTTTGCCAAGCCCAGCTCCTTCTTTTTTAACAGTCCCCATCTAGAGTCTAGCCTGACATTGAACATAGTTCTTACCGTGCCCTTGCCCAAGTACCCTTCTCCTGGCTGCTTCCCACCAATCCTCACACTCCGATTCCACCTGCTCTCTCGTTTTCCTTTGCTGGATTTTCTACTTGCCCTCGCATCCACCCTTTGCTTTTTACTCCTCTCTTACTTCTCTAACCCCTTTCCTTCTAAAAATCGTTCTAGATAATTTTGGAGGAGGGGTGTTAGTTAAAAAAGTTCATGGAAAAATGGAATTAAAAGAGCATGCATTTCCCCACAATTTTTAAGTCTGTTCATCTGTGGCTGTTAATAAATCCCCCATGGGGTTCTCCTGCTTAGCAACAACCCAAACCCCTTTATTGAAGAGCGTCTTCTCTAACTCTGGTTTATATGCACCAGAGTCCCAGATGGAAAGATCATCCGTATGGAAATTTCTCCTTTCAGAAACCCATAGTTCCAGCGCATTGAATAAAAACCATTATCTTTTAAGTCTGAGCCTCACTGAATTCACTTCAGCAACTTGAAACCTTTCAAGGTGTCGAGCATTGGGGGAAAATGTCAAGCCTATTCATACCTTCTAGTGAATTGAAAATCAGATCCACATATAATGGACATGCCCTTCTTTCTCTGCTATAGAAAGCTTTCATTTCATTCATTTCTGTTATCATTATAAACAAAAAGTTGCTGTTTTTACTTGAGTGCCAAATGAGGTACAAAAAACAACAGCTGTTGCTATTGCACAACTGAATCAAGGAGAGTGGGGGGAGGAGAGAGAGAGAGAGAGAAAACAAACCCTAATTAGTCTTGCTTTAAAAATCCTCAGACATAAAACCTCACATAACAGACGGAAGAAGAAGGGTGAAAAAAAATCAATAGACTCCAACGTGGCCTACTCATAAATATTCATTGGGACAAATGGGATCACATCATTGATGCCAGTCCTTGGGGAAGCTCCACTGTTAATGAACTCTTGCAGCACATGTTAGCAATAATGGGCTTCCTTATTCTACAAGGCCAAAACAGGCTGCTGTGCCAACCTGGTGGTTCACGTAACTAGCCTGAGCAGGCCAATGCGGAGGCACCAGCTTCACTGAGTTCTGCCACTTGTAGTGGGGTTGATGGCTCGTATTGTCCTCCTGCATCAAGGAGGTGGACGCTCTTCATAGCAGCAGCATCTCATTAGCCATTCTTCTTTGGGGACCCGTTGGACTGGGAGCATCCAGCTCTCTCCAAGCGGGACTTTCCCGGGCCCCACCCCACCCACATCTCCTCCAAGCTTGCCAATGCCCAGCTCCTGCCCCAGGGCCACCTTTGTGTTTCTAGGCAGCTTTCCACCTGTCCTCTGGTTCACACTTTCCCTTCTCCAGGGGCCAGCACAAGGTCTTTGGAAGATAACTTACCTCCACCTTGGGAAGCCTGTTAAGCACTTGCTTGCCTTCCCTTGCAATACCCGGGGGAAATTACAAAAAAACAACAAAAATAAGTAGAAGCAGCAGCCTGTAGCCCCTGCTCCATCCTTCCTGGCTACTGCACACTTCTTTGCCCAGAACTACGTGTGTCTTGTTGAAGAAGAATCTTATGGCTGGGTTTCTCTGGTCTCTCTGCCAATTCCCTAAAAGACAGCAAAGAGTCATTTTTGAGAACGGTTGTGAAGATTCTAATGGGAACTGGTCATTGGGACGCCACTGTCACGTCTGACGGGTGCTGACAATCTCTGTGTAGTCAGTGGGCTCCCCTCACTTCATGCTGAGACCCCTCTTCTGAGGTGGATTCTCAGACCAGCACATTTTATAGATGAGACCACCACGTGCTCAGTGTACCATGCAGTTCAGAACAACCCAGAGGATTTCACTTCGCACCCTGCCCTTGATATATTGTTCACTTATTTGAGGGTTATTGCCTGCTTGAGTCTCTCCTTTTTTTTTTTCCCTGAAAAAGGGCCTCAAAAATTATTCAGAGGTGCAGGTGCAGGACATCCTATTGCTCACCTGCTGTTGTGGTGGTTGTGGTTTTCAATGGCTCGCCATCATTTGCATAGAGACTGTAGTCTATCCCTCCCCTGCTGCCATCACTCCATGGACCTGAGCTGACCTCATTGGCCTTAGTCCCTGATGACTTTCAGACAGGAGAGGCTGGAGGCCATTTCTGTGCTGAATAGGTAACAGGTCTCTAGGCCAAGCAAATATGCGGGGGGGCGAAGGGGGACCCCATCCGTGGGACAGCTGAGTGAGGCTGAACTTTACGTCTCATTCAAATTTGTCATTGCCTTTGTTTGAGGTCTAGCTGGTGCAAAAATGAATCCAACACGGTTCCTGTTCTTCATTAACAGGGGCTAAGGAGTATTTGGAAGCTTGTGAAGTTTAAATGAGCTCAAGTTTGTAAGAATGCACAGCACTCTGTCTCGGGCATAATAGAAACTCAGTAAATATTAAATCCCCTTGGAGATGAAAGACTAAGGAGGATAAAACCCCACAACAGGAAGAGTATGGCCTTTAGACGCATGCAAATTAGGTTTGGTTTTGCAACTACCACCCCTAGTAAATAGGAAGTTGCAGCTGGACAACAAATTAACGGCCAGGCCAGCAGTTCAAAACCACCAGCAGCTTTGTGGGAGGAAGGTGGGGCTTGCTACACCCTAAAGATTTGCAGTCTCCAAAACCCTCAGGGGCAATTTCAGTCCTGTGAGTCAGAAGCGACTCAATGCCAGTGAGATCGCTATTATTACTAATACTATTATTTACTCCTGTATTGCAAGACATTCATTTCTTTATCTATAGAAAGGGAAATACCCACATGTTTGTTGCATATGTTTTTTATTTCATTTCATATGGGTAAAATATCCACAAAGCCATTGGCCATTCCAAACATGCTTCATGCGTGCAGTTCAGAGACACTCACTGCCCTCATCATGGGGGACAGCCCTCACTGTCTTCTTTGAACTTTTGATCACCTTGTATAACAATGGTCACAGGAATGTTTAATATTGATGAAACCCAACTATATCTGATGTATTAACTCAACTCGTTTCACTCCCTGATGTTCGATTCCAGGAGTCAAACATCTCATTGGGTTTTTGTTGACATCACCTCCTTCCACATTTCTTGTTTCTCTGTGCCTCGCCATCGAGACAGGGATAAGACAATGGGGTTCTCTGCTGTGGGCCCAGAAATTAGGCTTCCTCCTTTCAATGCCAGACATTAAAATTAAATGAAATGCAATGTTGGAGATTGTGCTGTATTTCCAGAAAGGTAATGGAAAATTACTCAGCATTTCAAAACTCTCAGTTTCATAGGCTTTGATGGGATAAAGATGCCTTAAAATGGATAACACACCACTTTCTAAAAGAAGACATCTGACTGAACTTGATCTCCTATGGGTTATTTCTCATAGCCATAGGACCGGAGGAGCCTCAGCTTAGGGGCTGTTTTATTATCTGGGCTCCTCCAGCCAGCAAAGGCAGAATGAAGGCCTTGTGTGGACGGGGAGATTGATAGACAATTCCAGTTTTATATGTGCACTTGGTCTCCAGGAGGCTGCATTTAGATATAAGTGAAAAGCTTGAGGGCAGATTGTCTCCGTCTTTCTTCCATGTGAGAAAAATCACACCAATGAGTCCTTTAGGTATTATGTTTCTTAGGGCGCAGAGGTGGGGGCCGGCGGGTGGAGAAAAAAGCTTTTTGAATGTGTTTGCATGGCCCTAGAACCTGCTATTTGAAACTTCCTTTTCATCATCACCATCACCATCTGGGCATTGAGTGCAAATACAGCTTGCATGGATTTCATTGATTTATCTGGTTTTAGGTTTAAATAAGAGATGTGTCCTCAACAGATCCTGTTTCTCAATACTAACCTGTTATTTGTTTTTCTCTTGATTAGGGTAAAATTCTCAACAGGAAAGGATGTTGTCCTATTTGCACAGAAAGTAAGTGCATTCCTTTTGAAAATGTGGCATTGCTATTATTTGCTTGGCATTTTATAAGTGCAACAGGGAATATGGTGTGATACGTGTCACCTTGAGTCAGCGTCACCTCCAGACAACTGTTTGCTTTTTTCTTTTAAGTTTTATGTGCATTTTATTTCTGTAGGTATAGAACGGGATTGCCCCATGCCACAACGTATATTTAAAGCTGTCATAACCCTCTCAGAGAAGCACACTTGAGACACATAGAGATGTTTCCATCTGAATTTGTTGCTTGGGAAATTAAGAAGATAAATGGTCTGATGAGGTTTTTAAAAGGACCAGATAACTGAATGTTCACTGCTAATAGAATTTGCAGTCATCTAGACGGAGATCATGCTATCCAGCTAAACCAAACATTACATCTAACCTAGGAAGGATTTTCCTTCCATTATTATGAAACCAGACAGCTGCTATTCCCGCACCCTCACTCCTCCTCAACATTATCACCAACTCACCTGGGTGCGTCCAGCACTGCTGTTGGCAAAGATGAAACACGAGGTCATTGAACTGACCAGGGTTTGACCTTCCTGTTTTCCCACTGAGTCCTTGAAGGTTCTCTCTGAAAGCCGTCTGGAACTGTCCCTCCGGTCGCACAGACAGAACACAGAAACAGGTTTCATATCATCCCCATATGTAGACAGATGCCTGGATGTATTAGTCAATTGCCATTTCAGTCCTCTTTGGATTCCTGTGATTCTGAGAGAGATTTCTCAAGTGTTTTTTTGTTTGTTTTGTTTTTAAAGAGGAAGACGAGTAATGTCACTGTCAAATGGAGCCCGATGTATGATAAACAGGATTAACGAAGCCATGAAATCTATTGCAAAGTATTTGATGAGTCAGTTAGGCATGGAAAAGTGGGCTCTGATGACCTTTGAAAGGCATCCTTCGCGGGGGAGCAAGTTTGTGTCTTGGACTGGCTGACAATCGGAGTTTGTGTTACAAAGAGTTATCCTGGCTCTGATCCTTTTGTCAGATTGCTTAGTGATCGTAGACACTGGCTCGGATGTTGTTTTATTGGTTGTGTTGAGTCAGCTGCTGCTCATGGGCACGCCTGTGAACAAAGGGATCATTGCCTGGCCCTGTATTCTTCACAGTGGTTGATGTGTTTGAGCCCATTGTTGCCTACATTGTGTATTTTGAGTGTTCCAACCAAGAGGATTCATCTTCTAATATTATATTAGACCATATTCTGCTGCAATGAATTGAGTTTTCATTGGTTAATATTCAGAAGTAGGTCACAAGCACTTTATTCCTAGTCTGTAAGCTCTACTGTAAGCTGCCTGCAATGGGGAACTCAGCTGGTATTTGAAAGGCTGGTGGCATAAGTTCCAGGATCACAACTATTTCAAGCCAAAGTATGAGTGGAAATGTAGATATATCTCTATCTATGTAGGTATATGCACACACACAAAAACACACATGATGAATCTATCCATTTTGTCTCATTATTTTTATAAGCAGAGAGTTCTGAATCAATTATACACTGGAAGAAATGACTGATTGAAATAATGAAAATTACATTATAGGTTGAATGGAAGAAACTTCCTTTAAAGAGACTAACATATATAGACACATAGTAACTCAAAGAAGGTAAAAGAAATATTACTTAGTAGAGGCAAAACATTAACGCAGCAAACAGAATTAGCTCTGATTAATAAACTAGTTGCTTTTTTCTTTCTTTTTCTATTTTGCTTTAGGTAAAAGAATACAGAGCAATTGAGTTTCGCATTTGATAGTTTGCACATGAAATGTTCCCTAACATTGGTTGTATTCTCACAGCGTATCAGCGCTCTCCTCCTGGAGTTTTCTGCCCCTTCCCACTTTCTCATTTTTGCTTTGGGGCAAATGCCCTTTTAGCTCATATAGGTCAGTCTAAGGAACACAGTCTAAGGAACACACACAGTCTAAGGAACACATTCCTCTTGGGTGTTTCTGTTTCTTATGAGCTTGTCTATTATTTGGCTGAAAAGTAGTTCTAGGTCAGATAAGTCATTGCTAAAAAATGTTTCCAATCTGTATACATTTTTTTTAACAGGTGAATTTTTTGTATGTATGAGTATTTATTTTTAGGAGATGCTATTTGTATAATTGATCTTTTGCTGTTCCTGCATTTTTAATTATGTTTAGATTGCATTTAATTGTATTTATGCCATATATTAAGACCCTTAACATTGTCCTTATATTTTATTGCATATTCTTTTCACTTTTAGGCTGTATACTTATATTTAGGTCTTTGTTACATTTTGAGTAAGCATTTATGCATGGTGTGAGGAAAGGGCCCTGTTTCATTTTTCTAAGGTTTTGTCAGCACCATTTATTAAGGAGATTGTCTCTTCCTCATTCAATGGACTTTGTCCCTTTGCCAAGGATGACCCGTTCACAGTTGGAAGGATTTATATGTGGATGTCAGTTTGGTTCAGTTGGTATATGTGACTATCATTGTGCTGCTGCTTGACTGTTTTGTACTGATGCTAGGCTGTTTGGACGCCTGTGGTTTTACAACATGTTCTACGATCTCTTTGTACGAGCCCTCCTATTCAGGTTTACTTCTAAGGTAGAACTCTGCTTACTTTCCTTTTCATACAAGCATGTTCCATCTGTTTAAAAATACTGTTGGAATTTGGATTGAACTTGCATTTTGTTAAGCCTTGTCCATGGTAATTTTCTTTCACTTATGGAGGTCTCTCTTTCTCTCCGTCTCTCACTTTTCAGTTTCTTAGTATAGGTCTTCTACATCCCTGGTCAATTTATTCTTATGTATTTGTATTTTGAGTGGCGATTGTAAATGAGTGGGAATTGCTCTCAATAGTTCCTTTTCAAACTTCACTTTGTGGCCATAGAGTAATCTATGAATCTAGTAATTGAGGAAAGTCCCATGGACTGACTGCTTAAAAGACAAAGTGATCTGTGTTGGAAGAAATAAGGTCAGAGTGCTCCTTAGAGACACGGATGGGAAGACTGCCTTACATACTGTATATGGTTGAGTATAAGCTGATCCGAATATCAGCCAAGGCACCTACTTTTACCACAAAACTGCACTAAAAATGTGCTGTTCAATTTTGTCAATTTTGTCTCATGTATTTCAGAACTCTGTCATGAGTGACTGCATATTTTTTATAGTTATATTCTCTTGATGGATTTATTTTTAATCATCCTACTAAAAACTCACTCCCATTGGGTCAATTTCCACTCATAGCAACCCAGTAGGACAAGCAGAACCGCCCTTGTGGGTTTCTGAGACTAAAACTCATTAAAGGACTGGAAAGCCTCATTTGTCTCCCACAGAGTGACTGGTGATTTAGAACTGGTGGTGGTGGTGCTAGCCACATAATGGGTGCCCCATTTTGCCACCAGGTCTCCTTAATCATACTAGGGACTTCAAAACATTTGTGGAGAAATTTCATTATCTTTTCATTCCATTAGTCTATGACTTTTCTGAAGACTTCTTCTATAATGACTTTCCTTATCTTTAATGCTGGATTTTGCCTTTAAGTTTATTTTATCAGAGATCCATATTGCCACCATTGGTCTTTTTTGGTGATTATTTGCTTGATTTTTTTCCCCATCCTTTGAGTCTTAGTTTATGTTTTTGTTTAAGGTGTGCCTCTTACACGGGGATATTGATGGGTCTTGTTTTTTTATCCATTGTGCTACTCGGTCTCTCTTTACTGGTACATTTAATATATTTATATTCTCTTTAATTATCAGTAGGAATGAATTTATTATCACGTTCTCTTGTCCGTGTGTGTGTGTGTGTGTGTGTTGTGGTGTTGATGGTTTCTTTGCTTAATTTTCTGTGCTAAGTTCTTCTTGTTTATGGATTTTCTTTTTGTTTCTTTTCTCATTGAATTTGTACTTATTGTCTTATTCGTTTCTATTGGTAATTAGGTTTTTAAAGTTTCTTTGTAGTTACCTTGAAATTTTCATCTATCTTCCTAAGTTTAAAGTAGTCTTATTTTATGATTGCCTTGACTTCCTTTCCATATGAAAATTCTAAAACTATACTATTTATTCCCTCTTTTGGTTATGACCTTGTCATCATTTACAGACAGACATATCTGGTTCCCTGTTTGAAGTCTTTTAGCTTTCATTTATTTTTGAGCATTTACTACCTGATACCCAGCCAATGCCATCCTCTGCCATAATCTTTTGTTGTTGTCTGAGACTGCTGGTTCTCTGTATGAAGGACTTCCTTCAATACTTCTTTAAATGTTGTTCTTATTTTTGCAGGTTCCTTTACTTTCTGTTTATATAAAAATGTTGTAGTTTTTTGTTTTTTTTTAACATTTTATTAGGGGCTCATACAAGTGTTATCCCAATCCATACACACATCAATTGTGTAAAGCGCATTTATACATCGTTTCTCAAAACATTTTCTCTTCATTTAAACCCCCGACATTAGGTCCTCATTTTCCCCTCCCTCCCCGCTCCCCCCTCCC